AACTCATCTTAACTTAAAAACTTACTCCACCTGAGCTCACCACACATTAATTCACCACACTTTAACTCCCCACACCTAAATTCACCACAATTCAACTCGCCACACCTTAACCCCCGCACCTAAATCCACCACACCTAAATCCACCACCCTTAATTCACCACACCTCAACTTTCTCACCACACCTTAACTCACCTCAACTCACCTCAACTCACCACACCAAAATTCACCACACCTTAATTCACCACACCTCAACTTTCTCACCATAACTTAACTCACCACACCTGAATCCACCACACCTAAATTCACCACACCGTAACTCCTACACCCAATTCCACCACACCGCAGCTCACCACACCCAATTTCACCACATGACATGATATCACTTGATGTGGCATCAAAGGCAACATCATTTGGCATAAAATGAACCAAAATAAATAAGATTTAGATAGAGGTGAAAAAAGGAAATACAACTGAAGAGTGTGCGATGTTATATTGTGGTGTGTTATGCTTCATATGTTATGTTATTTATTCTTATGTTATGGTTATGTTATGTTATACCAAGTACTAAGCTAAACTCCCCTCCACTTAACCCATTCCAACTAATGTTATTTTAGCTCATTCAACTTACATAAACTATCCTTAATTTTATCGGTTGAATTTCAACCGCTGGGCGAACACTAGTTATAATAATTTAGTGTTGGAAAGATGACTGGCAGACAAAAGGGAATAACTAAATACATAGTAGGGCTGGGACTCTTGGTGTACTCGGATATGCGGATGTCTGAATATCCGTTTAATATTTGTTTAAATAAAGAATATTCCTTGGCAATTAAAAAAAAAGTAAAGCAAAAAAGAACTAAGAATGCATACAGTGGCGAAAATATAAATAGGGAAGACACATTTAAGCAATCTTTGGCAATTTCCCTTTCGATTATTTAATGTTTATTATTTTTTTATGAAAGTTAAGCGAAATTCGACAAAGTTTCATCAAAATTTTGAGCTTCTTAATTCGATTTCTTAGAAAAATTTTGACTATGCAGTCCATTCCATTTTAGTACAACAAATTGCAAATTTTAAGTAACAAAGGCTTGCCATTGATTTTTAGCATTTTTTTTTTGTGGAAGGTGTAGCTCATTTTCTCCCTACAAAGAAAATTTTCGAATATATGGAAGAAAATGCGCGAACAAAAAATTTGCCAAAAATCAATGCGAAGTCCTAGCTGCTTCATACTTGCAATTTATTATACTAATGGCCCACAAAAGTTCAAATTCAATCTCATTAGTTTAAAATTTTGATGAGCATTTAATAAACTTTTTTTAAATTGTAAAACAGTTTGAAATTTCGATATAAATGATTTTTTTAGACAGTAAGATATATTTATTTTCATACAAAAATAATAAAAAAATTTTAAACAAAGAATAGTAGCCAACACTTCCTAAAATGTCTTTTCCTATTCTCGCCACCGCACATAATACACCGTGCGACAAAAACAAAAAATTTCAAAACTCACGAAAGAATCGATATACCCACGAAACTATGGGCCAAATATAGCAAAACTGCGTTTTTAGTTTTTCACTCTGACTTCAGGATTTTTTTTCAAAGGACTTTGAAATTTTAAAGATATGATTCATTCAAAAAATGATTTTAAAAAATCAGGGAAATACCAAATAAGAGAAAGTTTTGTATAATTTAGAAACAATAAAGTTGTTTGCTTTACAAAGACGAATAGGTTCCATCAAGTTTTGCATATTGGCCTTAAGATCTTGATAGAAACTTTCTTCCACGTATTGACAGATATTTCTATCTCCAATGACTATCACATGATTAATCAAATGACTATCACTGTTCTTGTAGGGGCGCTTCGTTCAATTACATCGCGTATGTATGTAATATAGACCGGGCAGAGGATTTGGTTTTATTTGATTTGAAAAAAGTTTCATTTGATTTGAAAAGAGGCTCATTTGACTTGAAAAAGGTTTCATTTGAATTGTAATGGTTTCATTTGATTTAAAAATGGTTTCAGTTGATTTGAAAACGGGTTCCTTTGGCTTGAAAACAATTTATAGATAAGTAGAAGTTTCATTATATTTGGAAGGCGCCACGCCCTCTTTACCAATAGTCTTTTTTTTCTCCAAGAATACGGGATTGGTTTCAAAACCTTCATATCAAGTTCCAGGACTACCACAAATGCTTCCAGAAATATGCGGTGGCTATAACCAAAAAAGCCTATTTAAAAAAAAAATCGGTACAGCCATTCGCGAGATCGCTTCTTACAAAAGGATGGCACTTCTCTTAATATAATTGGTATAGATAATAAGCATTGATTAATAGCCAATACCCGCTTGCTTTGCGGCGCCTTAAAACATTTCGAACTGTAAAAGAATCATTCAATTCTATTCTATATAATAGATCGGTCCCTGGTTCACCTATAAGAAAAAAGTATCCTAAAGCCGAATTTCAAATAAACCGGAACATAGAAGAAATAATGGATCCTATATGTTAATCTAGGAAAAGGCTACCTACGTACTAGATTTCAAGCAAATCGAACGATAAATAAAACTTTTTCTAATAGATCGGTCCCTGGTCCACTTCACGGAAAAAAAGAATCATATATGCTAATCTAAGCAAAAAGCTACCTACGTACCAAATTTTAAGCAAATCGGACCATAAATACTATTTCTTGGATTAGATCGGTTCCTGGTCCACTTCCCGGAGGAAATAAATCATATATGCTAATCTAGGCAAAAAGCTACCTACATACCAAATTTTAAGCAAATCGGAATACGATTTTTTCGAATAGATCAGTCCCTGGTCCACCTACTTAAAACATGGTGGTTGCTGAAAGCTATTTACATACAAAATTTCATGAAAATCGGACCAGCCGTTCGCGAGATTACCTGTTACAAACAAAGTCCCCTTTATATAATTAGTATAGACATAGATAAGCTCTATTTCAAGGTACCTGTCAGACAGGGTCAGGTAAAAGAAAATATACGAAAATGGCTCATCATACTTCAGCTCTTCAGCTGCTCCCTAGGCAAACCGACTGTTCACGACTGTTGTGCTAATAATGTTTGCAGGCTTTAAAAATACTCAACTATTTACGGCAATCCTCACTTTCTCTGAAGTGCACTTAAATAGGAAATCCTATTTTTTCTTCACAAATGGTATGCAATCTTCAGGCTTTTCGTTCCGCGAACTCTGCTGCTCACATTTATATACACTTTTAGGTATAATTTAATAAAAATGAACACATTCGTATATACATCCTGTCAGCCACACCTGCCGTCAGCGATGCCACACAACAAACGACTTCCCAAGTTGTTCATCTAACTAGTGGCACTGCTATATATATACATTTATACATACATATGGATGTAAAACATAGTAGGTGGAGACAAGCAAATGATATAGGGCGATTCCACCGTCACGGGTGGGACATTTGAACAGACAAAATTGTTCTTTCTTGTTTAAATTTAAATATAAAGTACTGAACAATTCTACATTTTGATAAAGCTATACCCAATTGACTATTATATGAGTTATTACAAAATACGAAAAAAATTCCAGCTTACTTTTATATGGAACAAAAAAAAGAACCTGCTCTTGGGAGCAGATATATTTTACGAAAACTCTGCGAATTTATTTCATATTTCTGTGTGAACTTGATGTCTTATAATAAAACAAAGAACCACGAATTATAAAAAAATCCGAAATTCCTCTGTCACGGGTGGGACAACATTTGTCACGGGTGGGACACGTACGAATTTTTATATGAAAAGGAGCTTTTAGTGTGGTCCATATTAAAGATTAGTTATTAAAAAATATAAGAAGCCAAGTAGGCGTTCAATTCACTCACGTTTTATCTTAGTATAGTGCCTTTTATGTAGAAGAAAAAGCCTAGCACCGTCAGCCAAAAAAATTATTAAAAATCAACGTGATCTCCTAGAGTCTTGAAATTTTCACTTTTTTCTACTTAAATTTAATGCGCTATAAAACTGCATACAAAAAGTTTAAAATTTTTGGGTGTAACTGTTAAAATTTGTTGAAATTTATCATTTTTGTACGTAGTTTGAAATGTGGATTTATGTGGTTCTGGTTATGTAACGTGCTTGACTTTTATAAAAAAAAAACTATGAACATTATATTAACAAAATAAAAAACCAAAACTGGTCAAAATGTCACTTAACTTAATCAGCTGACCACAAGGGTATATAGGTAATGGGCGAGTCCGCGCTTCCGCCCTTCTCCCCTGTGTCCACCTCCACAAACAAATAAAGCTTATCAGCCCTGTAAACCTACACAGATTTGTTCGTTTTATAAAGAAAAAATTTTGTGCGCTGAGGTTCAGTTTCCCATGGAACCTCCCTATAGTAACCTTCCGGTACATCTTAATCGCAAAGTAGTACACACAATCGGTGGCATTTACATAATTGAAAGAGGGGTGAGTGAGTAAGTGTGTGTGAATTTACAGGCGACAACGACAAGGACATGTCAAGCATACGCTTACACTTCAGAAGTGGTGTTATTGGATAGGTTTCACTAAGTGGTAAATCACTTGCATGCGTAGTTCAAATAGCAAAGGGCAAATATTTTCTGTAAAAGGGTATGCAAGTTCACGATTTAAGGCATTGGGCAGTTACATCAAAGGACTGAGGTGGCATTTTTCAACAAATTGCAAAGCTTTGAATTTGAAAGCAGCCTTTAAATGGTATATCGAATGGCATGCAACTTGAAAACTCATTGACATAAATACATGCATAACCCAATAAAACTTTAGCTACTTACATATGATATCATTGGAATGTTACGACTTTGTGATACAATAGCCTCCACATAGCAATGACCCTCTGGACCGAATATCGTCACAATACCATCGCATATCATTTCGGTAATGGCTTTGGTAGCAGTCACCGTGTCACCTTTTGTGTCATTCCAGCGTAGCTGCAACTTAACATTTGGCAGCAAATTGTCATCATTGTTGATCTGTAAAAAGAACGTTGAAGAAATGCGCTAGTACTAAATACTAAATATGATGAATGTAAAAATAGGTATAATTTTGCCAACCTCATCTAGCGCCATCGTGAGTGCACCTGAAATGGCCAGACCCTGCTTGTCCATTAGTTCACCGGTAATGGCTGTTAGATAGCCAACATTGAGTATTGTTCTATTTTGTTCGTCGTGCAGCGCTATGACACCCGGCACACAGAATACTGCCACCGAGAGCAATAATAAATAATGAAAGGGCCAACGCGTCATGGCCCCTTAGGCCGGGGCCGATCAGCGCGACACCTATGAGGAGGAATTTTTTTTCTGAAAATAAAAGAAAATAGAACATGAAATATTTATTTATTTATAATATTAAATTAATGATTAAAACGAATTTGTAATCAAAACCATAAATTGACGAATTTAAGAGCATTGACTTCTAAGGCCTTCGGCTCTACTTAACAAAAACATTATATTAGTTAAATTAGTTAAAAGGACATTTATGAAATAATTAGGTTTCACAAAGATGAATAGGTTTTTAATTTGTTTACAACCACGAACCATACATACGTCAAAAACCGATAATAGGAATGCCTTATTTTAGACATACTAGCTATAAATTTTAAAGCAACCCTTAAATATAAAATGATCTTTAAAGTTAAAGGTTGCTTGAGAAAATGACCCTTAATCTCTTTTAAGTTTTGCGAAGTATCGTCGATAAAATAAACTTTCACTACTTATACAAATTCTTAGCGAAACCAATGAAGTGAGAAAGCAACAATATTGTCACTTAACACAGCTTAGGTAACTGAGCTTAAGTACTCGCTATGTGTTGTAATTTCAAACGCATAATGGATTTATTATCACTTGCGTCGTGCATACAAACACACATAAATATGTACATTAGGGCAGGTCAATATATTTTTTTTACTATTATGTGCGTACGGCAAGGGAGGATTCTACGTAAGTAAGCAAATTTTCCGAAGAAACTATGGGTCTAAAATTAATTTGGAGTTTGCCAAATTGCGAAAATAGTTTTCGAAGAAATTGTAAAAAATTTTCACAACTAGGGGGCGCAGTTCAATTCTGCCCGTTCCTTGAAGGGATTTTCATGATTTTAAACCTTTAGTAAAGTTAATATCATTTATTCATATTGTTTTTTTTTTACACACCTTTCCTCTTTCAAAAATATACAATTTCATAAAATTTCAATGTCTATTTATCATATTGCTCGAGTGTTAGACAATCTAGAGTCCAAACGCATAAGTAGCCCATTACGCCCATTTGGGTACTTAAAGTTGACATTATAGACAATGTCCTTATGTAAAAATAAAAATTTTTAAAAATGCTATAATCAAAAAAACAATCAAAAAGAAAAATGTTTACTTAATTTTTTTTTGTGTTTTATACGTTGCACATTAATGTAAAAATGTACAATTAAAGCCCATTATAAGGCGGAAGAAATACATTTTTTATCATTAAGTTTCCTCAAAAAGTTTTCAAGATACAGCACTTTAAAGAAAACGTTTTCTTAAAATGTAAGTCCCGTGTAAATATCGGCAAAATATGTTGCACGTATTCAATATCTTCAAATTTCATCCAAATCCAGAGAGGTCGCGCACAGAGGGGGCCGTGGTGACATGAAATGCCTCTATAAATAAATTTTTATTCAATCTCTGTATACGTACATTTATAAAGAAAACACACGCGTTTAAAAATATACTTTTCACAAAAACGCGCTTTAAGCTCTTGTCATTTAAAAAATTGACTTAAGTGCCTATACCGAAGCGCTAAAGATCCCAAATACACCGCACAAACTGCTGTTCAAACCTCCTTTTTCATTTCCTCTATATATGGATCAAAGATCTGTCAATAAATATTGAACGTGTGGCATATTTCGTGATATCAATTCACGGCTCGGACTTTCGCATTGCGTTTCGAACAAATTAGATGTGGTATCATAATACATATACAGGCCGATTCTGAACAGAAAATCCCTAAGAGTTTTCTCTCTCCTGTCATGAACAAAAATTCCCCGAGGACTTTTTATATTAAAAAATGACAAAGTTGAGCTGTCAAAAAAGTGTCACACAGCTTTTTCGAAGCTCCAATTTCCTCCTCCCCAATTTTCGGGGAAAATGCTAGTTCCTGGGAGTTAATTATTGGAGGATTTCTTTCTCGGGAGAAACAAATTCCCGGAGATCAAACTCCCAGGGAGTATTCAGAATTCGGCTGATAATAAAAAGTGATAAATTAACGAGTAGACTGTCCAGCGATAATTTTCTTCGATATGTGGTTAGTTATTTTTGCTGAGCGTTGTGTTGCCTGATCAACACGATTGTTTCTAGTAGCGTTGTCAACGCTATACACAACCACAGTTCAATTTATCAAATTAATCCAACTTTTTTTAGTCTGACTTTATACACGGCAAACTTACCAAAAGTTACCAAAAAAGAAAAAAGTGGCCAAGTTACCAAGCACTCAAAAAGTTACCTATTTTGGTCGCAAGTGACCAAATGTGGCAAACGTGATTGTTAAGTTTTAAGGTCCGGCATTTGCAGATAAATTTTGAATACACTGTGACCTAAAAATATAAACTATCAGTTGTTTTCATTTTTGAACCGCATCCGACGGAAGCGTCCCATATTCCCGACCACGCCTGTATGCTCATTTGAAGTAAGAAGTACGCACCCGGAGCCAGCATGCATATGTTTACACGCGCCGGATTTAAAGACAATGCAATAATTTGCCTCCATGCGAGCTTCCTGTGCTAAATAAATCCAAACTATTTCAACCTATCAGAAAACACTAGTGGAACATCGACTCATGAAAAAGATTGGGCATCATATACTTTATATTTTCTCGTTAATACGGCCAGCTTTGTCTTACCATAATTAATGGCACATCGAAAATTAGCGGACGCGATGTTTAGAAACATTCGTCTCACTAGAGAAGAAGATATCCACGTCGTCAGCATAGACAATAATCCAATAGCCTCTGCTTTTAAATTTCCTGAGCATATCGTTTATGACCACGATCCACGGTGGAAAAGCACTTAGGCGGGTTTACCAACTCACTACTGGTCAACGTATCAACAGCGAATAACAATATCAGATTCATGAGCAGTTGAACTATTGCCGACACAACAGGAACTAAATTTAATACCTCATTTGATGGTAGAGTTTATAGCCTTGGTGTAGCTAAGAATCGATTGGTTAATTAGTGTAGAGATTATGGCGCGTACAAACGAATAATGAAAGCAGCTGAGGCTAGTGTGTAGCGTTTAAATATTTGCACACATTCACTCCCTAGCTCGCATGTCGTTTTTAAATCGATTAAATCGAAGATCGCTTAAACGAGCCCATGCGGTTCGATTTTTTGTAGTTTTTCTAGTTGCGATTCGATCCGTGAATCGATTTAAAAAATTCGAGAATCAACATTCGATTTTTCCTCAATTTTTGCATATTGCAATACGGTTTGAAACAGAAAATCTACAAAAATTAAAAGAAATTTGAATTTGAGGCTGGTATAAAAAAAAAACAAGTAAGAGCAGCGCTGTCTTCGGCTATGCCGAAG